TCACCTTTACATTAGATTGTCGGGGGGCTGGCCCGTGGCCTGATTCACTGAAACCTTTTCAGGTCTATTGTGATATTCCTTGGTTGTTAGAGCTCATGGTCTAGCTTGATCTCTTTGATGATACTCCATAGCCTTGACACTGACACGTCCATATAGCTGGCACCCTCTGGTTTCTCTTCACCGAATCTTGCGTGTCTCAGGCCTTACTATCGCTTCGCATTCAAAGAGCACATACGGTGCGGTTTCTTCCCCTTCTTGACAGAACCTTCATTGGGTTTCTTCTGTTAGAGTCTTGTTGCTCATATGTTCCTTGAGTCGGATATGCCGCGTTAGTAGATCCACCGCTACCCTTACAACCTTTTTTCGAGGGTCTTGATCCGTCTGGGTTGATCCGCGTCTGGGTTTTTTTCAGTTGTTCGACGTTTTGGCTTCGACTTTGAAGCCATTTTCAAGAAGGTATGACTACAGTGAGGTCTTAAGCCTACTCCTAAGGTAGTGACACGCTTACTCTTTAGCTGTTATCAGTACGGTATAGCCAAGTGCAGGGTTAGGCAACACTTGGTTGCAGAAACAACACAAATGCACGGAGTCATCAACAGAATCCAGCCACACTTTGTGGTTCTTCTAGTCACCTCGGGTTAGATACATCACTAAAGTCACCACTTGAAACTATATATTTGTATACACATAAGGACACACCTTACTACAATAAAGTACAAAGAAAACTGACTTCAACTAACGGCTTCAAACATGAGGACTACAAATGACAGGCGGTCATTGGTTTTTCTCGAGTCAAATCGATGACAAATTCGAGGACCAAATCGAGGACCCTGCCACATTCCAGAGCTCACTCCTAACCTCAATTTCTAAGCCGCACCTCCAAGCGAAGACCACCCCTAGCACCCCCAAGAGTTGCTCTTGGCGGGGTTTCTCTTCTTGACTTCACCTCGACCATCCATCTAGTCATCGACCTGGCCACCATGAGTTTACTCCCGCTTTTTGACGTTTATACAAAAATATGTCTTTCTTTTTCCTTATTTGAAGTGTAGTTTTTTTGAAAGTGATAGAAAAATGAAGGAGTAGATAAAGAAATCAAGATTAGTGGTCTCATAAACTTTTTCTATTAACCAAAGAAGTACTGTGTGCGTCATCAAATCAAAATAAAGAGTAACAGCTAAATAATCTTGACTACTAGCAAATGGTGATAATAAAATAGGTCCATTAGCGAGCTGCCATAATGTTTACACTAGTTTTTGTTGTGAAACGGGACTACTCTGATAGACTCGCTAGGATTGACGGCGAATCAACACGCAGTGTGTTTTAAGAGGTCAGATTTTACAACGTTAGTTTCATGTTGATTTACACTGATCAGTCACTGTAATGAAGAGCTTGCAATAATTAATTGAATGAATTAAAGGATTTGAAGCAGAAACGGTATATACGAAATCTGACTTCAGTTGAAAAATATTAAATTTGCAATGTTGCAAATTCAGTTGTTTTTTATTTATTTATTTTTATTTGTTTTCCAGCATTTTAACTGTCGGTTTATAAATTTGTTGGAGAAAAATATCCGAACTCTCACAAACAATGATAATAAATAATCCATAGGAAAATCCTTACATAGATGAAGAAATATGATTGTTGTTTATAATTCTTGGGGTTCTTGTTGAATACTCTTCGTGAGCAAAACAATAGCAAAATCAATTTCCTGATCGCTCTGGATTGAATGATTCCGTACAGTCAATCTCGTCTTGTGTTTGTAAATCTTTTGCTGGAAAAATCCTCACTTGTTTACTTTGTAATTAATGCTTAAGAGGTAGCAAAAACGTATGTGAATTTCTGGAACTTCAACTAGCGTTTCCTAATTGACTAATGACCAGTCCGTGCAAACCTTATTGTTGAATCATCTGAAAATGAAACTTTCAACAGATGATGATCGACTGTATTGCCAAACATGCGCCAAACTGACTGACTATTATAAGAAAACAAGTATAGCTGAGGCTTCAGTCAATCTGATAGACCAAAAGCTGTGAATAACATGAAACTTTTAAGACATGAAACCGTTGTCGGTGCTTCCAAAACCTACCTGTTAGGATTCGATCATGTGCTATGTGATTTAATACCAAAAAGGGGGGATACTGGGACTACAGTTTTTAGCTATACTGTGATTCTACTCTATTCAACAATGAATTAATATATTGTGTACACAATTGTATGATGCAACTGGATTATTTTTAGCTTGCCGTGTTTGACAATCAATAGTAATTTCAGCCTAAATGTGAATGGACTCGTCCCCGGTCCATTTAAGTGTGGCCACATCTGGCTTTAAGGACTCTGTCCACTATACCGTACTAACCATGGCCGTGCTAGGACCGTATCAGACACGGAACATAACACGACACGGTGTATCTTGCCCACTGTAATAAATCAACCGTGTTCTAAACCCATAAGCATCACGTATAATGACCGTATCATACGGGTATGATGACCGTTAGATACCCGTATGACAACTGTAGGTATCTGTATCTGTAGAGTAGGGAGGGTGAGTGTAGACCTGCAGCACTTAGGCCACATGTGACCCATTGTACAACCTCCCGAGAAGTTGTCCTCCTAGGTCATCGTCCATCCTGTCCTTTCCAGGAAGATGGACAGGTCACTAGTTGACATTTCCTTTATATCGGCAGGTGTAGGCCAAGACTCGCAACCTTTGGCAACCTTGAGGTGTCTCACGGTGGCCTCCACGAAGGTTTTGGAAGATGCAGCGACATTACTGTCGTTGCGTGGCTTCTTAAACTTTCTTGGGGTCCCTCCGTGGAGGTGCACAAGTGAGGGAGCTTTCCTGCAGGAGCAGCCGGTTCCGTGCCTTTATTCAAGGCGAATCTCTTGTCGCCCGCCGCAGGAAGTGCCCTTGCTGTTGGAGGTGAAGTGGGGGAGGAGGAGGGTGCACTTATAGTTGCTGCCACTCCTGTCTCTTTCACTCTCTTTCTCCTTTTGGCCTCGACGCCGCAAATGCGCTTACGCCTTGGCCTTTGTAGTACATCACGAGGTGATCTGCTATGTCCAGCCTTATTCCAAGCGGTAGATTGGGGTGGACATTTCTGTTAATCCCCAGCCACCGCCTTAGATTGAGGTGAGCACTTCTATCCAGCCTCGGGATTGGTTTTTGTTTTTGTTGTTTCTGTTTTGTGTTTGTTTCATTGATGTGTATTCCCACGAGTAGCAAGGGAAGAGTTGGTCACCTCTGGAAGAGCCCCGCATCACCAGAGGTAGGCTGATTACAATGAGGTTTCGCCCAATTCTCCAAGGGCTGACCGCATATCATCCTACGGCCATTAAGCTGTCGGCACGATTCCTTACACCTCAGCTTGGGTAGGCTGGTCCACGGTGGCATGTTTCGCAATGGCTTTTGGGGAGTTTTAGTTCCCCTCACCTTACTTATTTCTGCTACTGCTCAGGAGTCCGGCGACCCCGTCCGTAAGACCACATTAGCTTCCCGGATAGGGCCTCCAGTCCCCTGGCCGTTCTCCTATCCGCCACCTAGGGACGCGCCCGATAGGTAACGGGACAACTGTAGGTAATGTGAAGTATTGTATTTTATTCCGACTTACTCATCAGTGTAGTGTGAACATGTAGAAGAGTTTATCACGAAGAACGAATATGAGATTATCTACATTTCAACGGAATGTATTGCTGAATAAAATTGAAAATGATTTACAACCCGTTTATACACCGTTTCACTGCCGGAGACCTACGGTTTAGCAACGTCACGTACCATGCACGTTGCGTATCAGCACCGGCAAAATATTCTCGAATGGAATACTGTCATGGCACGTGCATGCTACGCTACGTTCCGGACCGGTGACGAAACGGTCTACTGGGCGTTAGTTCATATAAATTTTATGAGAGACTATTTTTCAGCATCTGCCGGTACGTTTACGGTCATGGTTTGGTACGATATAGTGGGCAGAGACCTTTAACAGCAACGTTCGTTACCAACTGGCTGGATAGCCTTAGCTGCTGAGGCCATTGAATCGAAAAGAATAAGAAGAAGAAGTACACAATCTATAAAGCATATGTTTCAAGTTTGAACACGCTGCGTTGTTTAATAGCGAATGTTTTCGGTGAATGTGTTTAAAATCTGTTTAAAATCTGTTTAAAATCTGTTTTTCCGTTAACCAGCTGTCGCACCCCTACGAACGACAACCCTCAGAAGTCGAAACTTGTGCGAGCTAAGGATTAACGAGGTATTACCTTTTAACGTGTGATTCCTAACACGGGTTGGACGGTAGTAAGTGAAGATCGATCGTTCAGACTAGGGCTTGAACCACCGACCAACACGGCAGTCAATTCGAGTGAGTGAACAAAGCACCCACGCCGAACCGCTTGGCTACCGACTGTGAAAATGGAGAAAATTGGTCATCGGTATGTGGTACAATACTTTAATTTAAAAGGCCTCATCCCAACCAATATAAAAGAGAACTTCGTAAACAACAGTAAGATATTGGGTAGCAGACTTTTCACGAGACCGTTAAGAGCTGCCAAGGCGGGCATCGCAGTGGTCGACCAAATGAAGTCACAAAACGGTACTGAATGATCGTCGATTTTCAACAACATAAATAATGATATCCCCGTTTTTAAAGTTTTCTAATTTCGAATAATCGTTCATTGAAGTTGTGAATGTAAACTGTTCATCAAGAAGTAATGTTGATTAATCCTTTTCGCCCTCCCAGAAATCTACATCTCCGACACTGTTACCACCCTCCCCTCATTAATTGCCAAAATAATATAAATAAACCCTCTGCCTCCCATTGGAATTGTTCACTTTGTGTGCAGTGTTATCGGTATAACCATCCACGTCTAAATTATCGTATATATTCTATACCTGCCCGTTAAAAATTAAATGCTATTAGGATATTGCCGCGCCATCTATCGCCTTTTTTTTATCACCATCCTCTTTCGAAATCGGGCAATTCTTTTCAAATTTAGTTTGTTGTGATATGTCGAGCAGGTCTTGCCCGTGCGCTTAGTGTTTTTATTGTCGTTTGTGCCATATGTACGAATTTCATAAGACTCGGTGTAGTGAGGATAGTTTTTTGAGGTGACGTTCGGATGTAAGATGGCTGTGAAAATGGAGATGACCGAGGTCAGTTACTATTGTTTTGTAATTAGCATAGGCGCGCGGGATGCGCAGGAAATTTTAAAAACTGTAGTAAACATTGTATATGGGCTATTGTCAAAGTTATTGGAATCGGAAGTGTGACAAACATTGACCAATTTTCTTCGCTTTTTGTTATAGAAAAGTAAATAAACAATGGTCAAAAATGTTTCGCATTTCATTGAGAGTACGGTCTTTTTTTATCAAATCAGTAGCTACGTAAATGAGAGAAATATTTGAATTTAACATTGAGGCACAGGATGAATAAACATCATTTGTTTAACTACAAGTTGAAGAAAAAATTAAAGCTTCAACGATTTTATATGAAGCTCTAATTATTTTCGTCTATGAAACATATTTATTTACATCTGTACCAGCTCAAATATGTTTAAAGATTTAATAATTTGAACAGAGTAATCACTACCAAGATATTAACAATGTTTTGCGAAGTTATTTAGAATCATCGATTTTCAATGATGAGAAATGAAAATCCCAAATAGTCTTTCAGATGTCGGCATATGAATATTTTTTGATGGGCTGTAAGAAAATTTCTCGAATATTTTTGAAGGTTTTCATCCTATAAAGATGGTAACAATGAAAAAAAAATCAGGAAATGGACGCGCCTCGAAAACAGTTAAAAATCTGTACTCTCAGTTTATATTTGACTTCATCTTAAAATATTTCAGAAATCAAGGAATACAAAAGAGAAACATTTCAAATAAATTATGATTACAAATATTGAATCAAGTGACCAATGTTTTGGACGCGTAAAATCCAACAGTTTTGACAATCGCTGTTTGAATAAATTGAAAAGTTTGTGAAAGCACTAATAATATTGAAGCTTCAGGTATTTACAGTTTTCTCTTAAATTACATTCATACCGTTTGATTAATATACCTCGATACTATTATCCTTTTATCCTCTCACCTTCATGGAAAATGATTAATGGATGAAGGAGGTATCTTCATAAAAGTCTGTCTGATATAGTTCAATATCCAGCGTGGAATCAGCCGGGGAAGTAGTTGTTTTCCGACATACATTTACCAGATCCTACGGTGTAGGTATAATTGGGAGAGATGCATTTTTTGAGATTTCATTTCGAAATATTTTTTTCAAGTACATATGTCTTAGAGTTTGAAAAATATTCACATTGTGACTACTTTTGCTATATTTTCATTTGTTAATTTTCGTCGCACTCAATAAGATTGAGCTAAAAAATTAATAGATTGAATCGGTGACGCTTACCGTAGTTGAAAAAGTACTTTTTCAAAATTGTGTTTATTAACATGTCTACAGCACCATCTTTTAGGCTGCCAAAATCATATTTGTCTTCAAGTTTGAGTATGGCTTTCTTCTCATGGTTCTACTTTATATCTTTTAAAAAATCAATATTTCAAGAATTTTATTTCTCAGAATCGTCGACTTTCAAGGTCGTTTTCCTAGAGATCAAGATAGTTCATGTATTTTGAAAGTAATAATGGAAAACTTACACGAAATCAGTTGTGTTCCAGGTTTAATTTGAATTTCTGGAACTGTCAAATGAAATCAAATATTGGCAATATAGCAGCTGTTTCAAATACAAATAAGTATGAATCAAATCTATTTTTATATCATAAATAACAGGCCAATACATTATTGAATGACAAGTAAATATTATTGTGGTCCACAATAAGGCAAATTTTCAGGTTAACATTAGCATTCCAATGGTATTTTATTTAGAATTGTTTATACCGATAGTAAGGTTACATAGTTACTAGAAACATATTATTTACTAACAGATAGTGTAGGCAACTTTTGAAACTACAACTTTTCCAAAGAAAATGGGATACTCATGGAAGATTGAACATTATAATTCTTCGTTTAGGTATTTATATATCACAGGAAATTTACTCAAATTGAGATAGTTTCAGAACAACCAATTTTAATTTGCAAAGTGTGTATAAAAACTCATATCGATTTGAAAGAAACATATACCAATCTCTTGTTATTCTCCTGATTAGATTTTTTTGAGAAATAAAAACTTGTTTAGGGTTTAAAATTGCGGGAAAAACACAGTAAAGAAGAATTAGTTTATAAAGAAGGTAACCTTAGTACACGTGTCTATATATAAACCTACTAATAAAATTTTCGTTCGCATGTTTTTATTACTTACAAATGGAAGGTACAATTGCACGATATATTTCAGTTATAATAATCATAATATACTTTATTGTCATTAAGAATAAATCTTGTGGACAAAGCTTGTGAAAAATAAATGCAAATGTAAATATAGAAATATAGAATGTGAATATAAAAACACCTACAAACCAGTAAAGTTAGAACCTCCACTATAGTTGAAACCCGAAATTTTGTATCAACAACAAAAATATAAACAAAAATGTTATATAACCTAAATTCAAATATGCACATTTTGTCACGTAAATTTATCATTATAGGACTCTCGCAAATTAAAATAGGGTCTATCAGCCAAACATGTTTTTCCTCTTGTTCTAAACTTTTTGTTGGTCAAATTTGCCTGTCTTATATCTGAGGCAAGTGACCCCATTGTAATAAATAGAATTCCTGACCAAATTTGTTAAAAGAATTGTCAATTTTAACGCGGTAGAACGGGTGCTATAAGAATGACATGAAGCCTCAAATAGGGAGATATTTTGTAAATGAGGCAAACCGATTCCAAAATGAACAAAGCAATTACTGTTAAAATATTTTGCTCAACGAATTTGTGTCTGCAATTGTTGAAGTTGCTCTCACTGCATAACATCCAGAAAAAATTTTACTTTTGAGTTGTTTGATATGTTCAATGAATTTGAGCTTATTGTCAATGTGAATACCTATAAATTTAGATTGGTTCTCGTTCTTGATCACTAAGTTATCACCAAATGACAGGTCATCAAGAGCACATTTGAATGATGAAATGTTTGTTTTAGTGATATTGAAGGATAGCAAATTAGCATCACACCACTCTTTCATTTTTTTTATATCAGTAGATATTGCATTGTTTAAATCAGTTGAGTTTTTGTTCCACAATATCGTCGTGTCATCAGCGAAAAGAGTGAAATTTCCAGAAATGCTCAAATTTGCAATGCCATTGACATATAATAAGAATAAGATGGGTCCTGAAACTGATCTTTGTGGAACATCACCCAAAATTCCCTTTTTTTTCTGAAAGTCCTGTTGTTCTTACCATTTGATTCCTTCCTGAAAGGTAAGATTCAAACTATTTGAGCGTAATTTCTCTGCAGCCGCTATTGCATAGCAATAGCGGTACTTAAATAACATGATACATGAAGATATAATACATTCGACATCAAATAAGAAAATTACGTATGTGGCGTTATGTTGAATTAATACCAGCGTGGTATTAGCCGGGAAAGTAGTCGTTTTTCGACACGTTCACCACACCTTACTGTGTAGGTAGTTGGGAGAGATTAATATTTCAAAATTTTTATTTTCTAACAGGTATGTACCTCGATAGTTTTAATTTTTTATTCGTGAAAGGGAAGGAATGAAATAGTGCAAAAATCATGAAAAACTTTTAGATGCGTATATTTCTGGGTTCTCCAAAATCAAGAGCTTTCACAGGGGGAGTAACAGGACAATGTCGTCAAGACATAAAAATCGGCATTCGGCAGCGTAGATATGAGTCGATTTATTTTTTTCTGAACGTCTCCCAAACAGCATGGTGGTTATATAACTTGCATTATGTTTGTTTTTCAGAACGTATTTGACACTAATACTATATTTTATTTTGAAGCGAGTTCATATTTAACGACATATGATTCTGTGTCAATTTCTTCTTTTAGCCGTTTCATTTTTTGCTCCAATTTTTTTCTCATAACCCTCGAGTCCATCGACTCTCAGTGTATTAACACTCTGTTAGGGCTCCACTATTTGAAACTAGGTACGTATTAGCGCTATCTCGTTAACTAATAATACAAACAGTCTCACAAAGACGTCGATTTTTCCTTATGTGTGCTTTATTACCATCGTGTTAGGTACTACCTAAGTGGTTTCATTGTCCGCTCCCAGTCAGTGCCGTGTTGGTACATCTCATGTACTCCTACATTATGGCTCTGGAGTTGTACTTTCATCATTTGTAAGCGTTTGAGATGTTCTTTGAAACACGTCTGAATTTTGTCGAGTTTGGCCAACGTCTATCAAGAGCTATATTTGTTTTCAATTTTATTTCATTGAATTACGATTTTAACAATTAAACCATTTTGAAAATATAACTTCAATCCTAATGATAGCTTCTTCTGTTGGTTGGATAAATCGTAAGTGTTTTTCTGTATATTGATATAAATTAATATAGTTAGTTCTTTGACATGAATTTCGAAATCAATGAACCGGAAAAATTGAACGGACCTGCTTTTGTCTCAATTTCATAACGAACATTTGTATTACAAATCAAATGAAACAAAGTGATTTTCCTATAATTTAGTATTCATGAGAAAGATCTTTTTCATTGTTATGTGTTTTGAAAGGATTTTTTTTCTTATTTTGGTTTGGATCTTTTGGAAATATCCCAAATTTTTTATTCAATGATGAAGAAGTAGAGAGGCAAAAAGTTTTTCATTGTAAATTACTTACTGACTAAACTTTTTTTTTTCTATGATTGAAAGTAGATTTTTTGAAAGCGAATAGTTATAATTTGACAAAAAATATAACTAACTACTCCACTTCATTTACGAATGTATGAGCATTTTTTGAATATACTGGGTTGATAAGAATAATCTACAGGAAAAGGATGAAAAAAATCATGGGAGTTCCGTGGTGGCCGTGGTAGGGGACGGACGTGCTGATAACGTCCGTCCACAAAGAAGGTACGCGGGTGCATGTGCTATCGTGGGGCTCCGTTTTGTGTTGTGTCGTATTAAAATTGAAATGTGGAGTGTCTAAAAAAGTGATGAATAAGTGGCCCCCTTTATTCACGCCGGTATCCAGGCCGAGGTGGTTCGGATAACCACGTAAAGGGGGCTATATATGTA